CTACATTGTGCATGCTAAAAGTTGTATTCATAGGGACTCGATGTTTGGTTGCAAGTTAATGATGTTCATTGTGATAGGTTGCATTCATTCCACATATACTTCTTTTAGCAAGCTAGTGTATTCATTCAAGAGTCCTTTTGTCAGTGCTCATCAAGTTCTTTTCACAAACCTGCAAGTTGACTGTTATTATGAACATTAGAAGTTTTATGTTGTTTGTGATAGGAGATGAGGAATTGTCCTGTCCAACACAAGACTTTGTAGTTTCTCATTGATGTTTTGTGTTCAATCATATGGTAACTTTCTAGATATTCATTGGGAATTTTATTTTGTTGATTGTAAGCATGTCGTTACATTTCACATGATCCTTCCTGTGAGTAGCTTGCATTTGATGTTCTTTGTCTATCAACAAACTCTTGTGTATTTGCTTTATTTACTTATCTCAAATTATTATTTTGATTTAAATATTTGATGATAGTTCCTGTTGTGCAAGTTCAGTTCCCTGTAATACATTTAAGTCCCTGTAATTTGTCTCAGTTATGTGCATTTTAGTCTGTTTATTCTCTAAAAATTTTGCCATGCCAATTTCAAATGAATAATTATGATTTTTATATCAATAAATAAAATTAGAGAAAATTCATCAAGTTAAAGAAGTAAAGTTAATGGAGTTTGTGATGTTATGGCTTTATTGATTTCATTTTTACTTTATATTTTTTAATCTAGATTTTTAGATCTTACAAATGATCTTTGTCAAGTAATTACAATGTAAGTCACAAGAAATCTTAAATTCAAGTATGGGGTCATTAACAAACATCTTCTTTAAAAATTAAGAGAGAGAGAAGAGAGAGATAGAGAAAGAAAGGATGATTCTTATACCTTAAATTATAAAGTTATTTTTTGAAAAGTGAGATGTAAGTTTTCCACATATGAATGTCTTTCTCTTGAAGGTCAAAAGATGCTCTTATCATGTAAAAGGACATATACCTATACTATGAAGCATCATTATAAAGTTGATACTTTCATAGTCAATTTAAATACACATTATGTGATAACATGATTACGTTCAATGAAAAAACTATTCGTAGAGCTATTGACTTCTTAATTAAATCTTCATCCTCAAGATGTATTACTAATTATTTAAAATTGATTATATTTAAAACTCTACATTTTTTAACTAGAGTAACTGAACATGTATTTCAGTAAAGAAGATTATCAAGTCAATCTATTGAATATACTAATTTGGAAAATAGTTCTTTTAATTCTTTTATTTATTTTAAGCATACATTTATAGCAACTACAATGTGTTTTGAGGTAGAATCAATTATTGATGATTGTGATGTTAATGAAGAATTAGTGTTAGACGCAATTTAGATTCCTAATCCTATCTTAATATAAAAGAAGTTATTATTTTGCTTTGCAGGTTCTTCTATTTACAATTTATATATTACATTTTTGTTCTTACTTTTAATTTCAATTTATTTTAGATTTATTTTCATATCTATGGACTTTTAAATTCGCACCCCGGCCTCTTTGCTGCCACTTTCTTTTCTTTCAGGTCATCAAGGAGAGTTGTTAATGAATTAGGTTATTTGAGGCAAATTTTCATAATTTGGAATTGAATAAGACATCACCCAGATATTTCGCCCTCATTTGCAGAGACTTCATGATCTTAGTACAGGTTTCCTTATCGCAAGCCCCTATAGTTAATTACCCCTCACGATTATAAGAGAGAACTGGATCAAGTGCTTATATCTATTTCTAATTCATAGGGTTCCTCAATAAGATCATAAATTAATAGTGTCATTGTTCAAACAAAACCACCACGTCAGATGGTCTCGGTCATAATCATTTATATGTAGTGTCATTTGGCAATGAAACCATCGATAAGGATAGTGTCACATTCTTACTGGCAAAGATGATTGAGAATGAATCCTAATGATATTCCTGACCGGACATTTGCTCTTTTGAGATGAAGTGATTTTCAGATTTGTCCACCTCGACAAACTATACGAAGACGGATGTGTATTGTTTTGCTCTTAAGTTATCTTATATTTTATTTTAATTTAGATATATAGAATTTGGGAGCATTTTCAAACTTTTGGGCCTCCAATTGAGATTTTATGTCAATACAACCATCGTCTCGGTACTTATGGGCATATTCAGTTTGTTGGTCAAACCTTGTTGATTCTATCTACTTGACAAACATATGATAATGTTCATTATTGGCTTTATTCTGCTAGTGAATTTTCTTTATTATAGACTTTGAAGGTCTAATATAAATGTATAAAATAAATATTTCATGTCGATTGCACAACTATATTTTGCATGATGTTTGAACTGTGTCAACTCCTACACATTCACATAGAAGATCGAGCTTAAACTTTAAATCTTTTCTTAACCCACGTAGCATCTCTCAAACATACGTGTATTATAAAACACACTCATCCAAGGGCATGCGGGTAATCTTAATCTCATGAGGGGTATTTGAAATATTTATTATAATTAATTAAACAATGGTTATTTTTGAAAGATCGTTCGAGATCTCTTTTGGTTTCAAACAAACGCCTTATGTTGTCTTGTACATGAGTTATATATTTGGTGGCATTATTTGGCAATGCATTTTCATACAACATTTACAGATTATTGCCAGCAATAGCTATTAAGGAATAAAGTATTGGCGAACATCTATTCCTAATTTGCATTAGATTATGTTTTATGCGACCCTCAAGCTTCTCCTGTAACACTTCAGGCTCTTGTTTTGCAAACTCAAACATATTTAACACATGGCCTATTAGACTCGATTTCAGGATTTTCCATGTTACATTTATAGGAAGTTTCGATGAAATCACATAAGTGGAAATTAGTGGTGAAAACTTGGGGACTTTTGCATGGCTCAAATCCTTCCACTTTTTGGGCCAATTAAAACACCTATGGATACATGAGTTATCATAATTTTCTTACATGAATAGGGTGTTCATCTTTTAAGCATGCTATGATGGCCTTATATTCAGAACTCATTTACCATTCAAATAGTCAATGAGGTATTACATTGTCTTGATGCAGGCTCTATCTTCATTCGGTTGGCGCAGCAATGACATGGGACACATTTTTCTTCATTAATAAGTTAAAGCATACCATTCAGCCTTGCGAACTTCTCCATAATTGCCTTCTCATCATTAGAGAACTCATATTCACAAATTATCTAATCATCACTTAGACTAGATAGGATATATTTCTTCTCTATTCAAATAATATTGCATTTCTCTAGAAGCCTCGGTATGTCTGAAGAGGCGATAGATCAGACATCTTTTAATTATCATTCTTTGAATATATAGAATATTCAACCTTGCATGTTTAGCGCCACAGTTAGGACTTCTTCTTAAAATATCAATGGACCTCCTCCTTACACCAAGTTGTCTTTCTTTATCCAGTTGTCACTATCAGAACCTCTAAGGTTACCAATAAGTGGAGCTTACAGTTAAAAACTAAAAAGTGGCTCTCTAGCCTCCTTAGAACGACTAATTATTAAACACAAGGTTTCAAAATCATTAGCTTTGATATTACTTTCACCTTAAATAAAGATTATCTGATGGAACTTTGAGTAACTAGGGGCTTTATAGAATTCATATTTATACAACAGAGTTCCTTTGTATCCTTTATATTTCTTGATTGTCTTTCATTTCGCCCATTGTAGGCTCTAAATCATCTCCCACCTCAATTTATAAAATTTCATTAAAGTCATAGCCAAGCATTACACTTTCTTGTGCATGCATTTACCTTTATCTACTCATTTTTTAGAATCATTCATATATAAAATGAAAATAGATGAAGAAAGAGATCACTAAGCTTAAAATCTTAAATTCTAATAATTTTTTTTGTTTTGAAGGACTCACCATTGAACAAGAGAGAAATATAAAAAAGAAACAACTATGAACAAATTCATACTAAAAATACTTTCAAGGCTAATCTAATTTTGTTGCTATATTTAATAGGAGGTTTAATTATAACATATATTAAAAAATAATTATACAAATCTTAAGCAAATTTACAAAGTTCTCTCTTCATTAAGATCAGGTATTCTACTACATATATATTGTCTTAGGGCACTAAGCAATTGATGCACGACAAATGACCAATGAAGCTTTTCTATTCTTTATTAATTATACGTTTTCTAACAACCAATTTCTTTTTTCAACTAAAGATATATCAAAACATAAAATGAAATTATATACATATGATATTTTGAATAGGAATTTCATAATTATTTGAATTTAATTAAAAGTAATACATATATGAGATGGAAAGCTGCACTAATCTTATGCAAATCTAACAATATTACATGGAGCATTTGCTATAAAACATCCGCTATAACTCGGACGAAAATGAGGAGCAAAACTTGTTTGGGACAATTTAAACCACTTTTTCTTAGCCTTTCAAGAGATTTTTGTCCTAAAAAAATAACTTTACAAAACAATATAAAAGCGTCCCAAACAAACTTAAATAAGAAGCTTCAGCACAAGAAAAAAAGAACCAAAACACCACTTTTTACATTAGCAACAACATCTTTCTTTTACTGCTGATAAATCCTTTTCAGTGATGATAAGGATACTCTATAACATATTACAGACTAAACAGGCAGGAAATCAAAGCTAATTCTAATTCTACATCAGCTTTCCGTAATACAATTGAAATGACACAAACATCCAATACGCATTTCAAGCCTCATATAATTTTTGCAATTGAATCAGGCCTGCTGAAGGGGATCCAAATGCTAAATTCTGGTTTCCAATATCAACCTCTGAACCAGCAGGCAGGTTTGCTTAGATTCAGCTGCAGCATTCGAAATGCCTGTCAATTCTTCAAAACGGTTCCAAAGCGAGTTCATTTCGTTTCTTTATGTACACGGTTTGATGCGGAGCGAAATTATTAATCGGATCGGTGTGAGGAATCTGCGTTGCAATGCGCATGTCGAATGAATCTGTTGGATCATAAAGAATTCGATTTGGTTGAAGACAGGTCAGTTGAAGAAGTATGTTGAATCCAGAACATCTTTAATGTTGAAATCTCCTCGCTCTGGCAATGGGAAGCTCAAAGAAGGAAATGAAAGTTGAAAGCTAGCCAGCAACTGCACAAACATTAGCCAATGATATGTGAGTTTTTTCTAACATAATTATTTTTCCAAGCTACAGCTTTGGATATGATATTTGTTATAAAGGGTTCCCACTGAGCGAGAATCTTAAGGTCATAATCAGTTGAAATGATTGTTGTGAAAAGATTGGTGCTTGGCAGTGGTATCATCAAGAGGCAGTTTTGGACCTGAGGTAAGTTGCTTACAATCTCCCCATTATATGAGAATTGAGAACTCATTAGATTGATCTCTCCTTAAATAAAAGGTTTATCAAGTATTAATATACCAAGGCCCACTCAATCATAGAATCCATCATGGATTCATTCACCCTCGAATTTAGCTCCACATTGTAGAATAAACAAAAGGACATGAGATAGGTACAAACAAGATGAACCACTTGATTCCAACCAGATTATGAAATATAACATCACTTGTTTGGAAGTATGAATTAAAGGGAGATTGAATTTAAGCTAGGTACAGTCACAATCAAACATATTTGTATACCCAAAAGCTTAAATCTATGGGTGAGTCTAGCCAAATGATATTTCAACGTCAAATATATTTTCAACTACCAGATTAGGGGAAAAACCTAAACTTTAATAGTAAGCCTATATAACAACCCTCTCTAGACCTGCATTATCAAGCCCATGGACAATTGGACATTAGATAGCCATCAAATGATCGTCACGCACAAATAATATAACAATGACAAAAGATGTTGGAGTCAAAAATGTAATATCGTTCATCCACTGATATAATAGATATTTTTAAAATTGGACCAGACCGATCAGTCTGACCAGTTCAACTGTGAATAGGTCATAAGGTGTTTTGTCCAACCTGAAAATCGGTCGAGGGTGTATTTTTGACACGATGAAACCGATCAGGAGCCGACCCAGAAAAACACGGGTTCAGGTCGACCCGTTTTAAAAAGGGTCGGGTTCAGGTCAGATTTCTGACCCATATGAAGAACGGGTAGTGTTCGGGTTGACCAAAAAACCCATGGGTCGACCCAAAAACTTGTGGGTCGACCCAAAAACCTGCGGGTCGACTCGGCTAACCAGAATATCACGCAACCTAACCTGGTTCTACGAGCTTTCTACAAGTCCTGCCTAGCCGCGCGCATGCCGCGCTCAGGTCAACCATTGTTGCGCGCACCTGCGGCCTGTCAGCGAGCTGGTCAAGTCCCGCCCCCGCCAGGCGCCAGGCCACCTCAGCTGAGTCCTCCGTTCACGTGAATCCGCCTCACTTCGACCTCACCTCACTCCGCCTCACTCCAAGTCTCCGGCCTCGCTCGCCCCAGGCCCTATGAGGATTTCCTCACTCTGAGTTTCCGAACTCCCTCGCCTCACTCTGCCTCACTCTGACCTCGCCATCCGTGGATTCGCATGACGCGTTGTAGCACAACTCCCAAGCAATTGCGCTCGCGGGTTTGTGGTCGGTCAGGTCAACCCGGCAACCTTGTGCGGGTTGGGTCCGATTTAGAAATCCTGACCCAGTTAACTAAACGGATCGGTTTTGAGTCAACCCTTTATGCCCGGGTCAAGTCGGGTTTGACGAACTGACCATTGACCCGAATTGACACACCTACTTCTACATCAAATCGGATTGAATCGGCTAAAACCTATTAAATAAATTAATTTAATACATTAAGGGTAATACATTAAATAGTATTTGCAATTTAAAAATTAAATTTAAAATTTAATTTAAATTTAATGATACTTATTTTTTTTAATAAGCATGAAATTCTTATAATAGTTATTTGCCCAAAAATACTAATGAAGCATCTTCACATAGCCTCAACACTCAACGTAAGTTCTTAACACATAAACTCAAAAAGCTATATAAACAATAGCAAGAAAAAATTCTCAAGTGAGTGGGACTAAATAGATAAGTTGAGGTTATCAAGCTCACACATCATATATTGTATATTATATATTTTATAACAAATGTTTAATTTATTTTTATATTGAGTAATAATTTATTTTTTAGTTAATAATAATAATTTATTATTATTTTATACACTATAAAAAATAATTTTTATCTATTATTATTGATAAATTATTTAAATAAATCTTTGTAGATGCAAATTTATAATAAAAAATTGATATAATAAA